TTATAATCACGAAAGATTAAATCTGGTTTAATGTACCTGTAAAGAAGTGTTCAATACATGGATTTGTTTTTTAATTGATTGTCAACAGATTCAGTTTGCCCTATGAATCATTTTGGTTTGGAATGTGACAAGTCATGTAACTGCCAGAATAAAACAGAGACGTGTTTTGTGGCTACTGGAGGATGTCCATCTGGTTGTGCTGCTGGTTTCTATGGAGACGGTTGCCAAAAAAGTAATCAATTTCTTGCTTGTTTTCAATTGATTTTACTTTTGACAAATAATTAATTTAAAAATGTTTGAATTATTTGCAAGTACACAACAATTTAAAAAAAAAAATGAACAAACGACCTCACTTATGAAAAACCTTTTACTTGTAATTTTTTATATTAGCTGTCAACTCCGTAGGATTTAGGAATGTGCCGTCTTAAAACGCACTGTATTTAATAATGAGAAACTTAAATTCTTCATTTCTGCGCATTTTCCTATAACCTCATTGTCATTAAGAACTTCTAAGCTGGAGATAATCTTTTTTGTTCGAGTCTAGGAAAACTGAAAGGAAACAAAAAGACCTAAAATCTGTAGAGTCTAAAAATTACATGTTGGAGACCACACCACGTTTATCATTACACTTAAAAACAAAAAAAAATTCACTCGATAGCTTGATTGTAAATTGTATAATACTATGTATACTAGAGAATACACTAAAACTAATCAAATATTTTTTCTCATATTGTTGACACATCTATCACAGAACTACCTTGGTTTTCAAACGCGTAGATACGTTTAACCAAATTGTACATTTAAAAGAAATATTGTTGATAAGCTCTATACGTGTAGAAAAAAACGTCTTTGTCGGAATCAGATTTTTTTATAGGCTACTTGTCTAAATGTCAGTATTCACTCGGGTTTGTATTCTCGAAAAAAACTTGTATTCGTTATGAGCACATACGTAAAATTAGGACATTGTCAAAAAAAAGATTCAGAACTAAAAACAAAATTTAGAAAAAATTATTCCCATAAAATAAAATTGATAAAAGTCCTGTAAACTTTGAATTTGTGGCCCATCCCATTTCAAATTATATTAAAACATGTCACAACCAAAAAAACATGATTCAATGTCAAATCTACTTTTAAAAGATATCTTAATGAATAAGGTATACACCAATTGCAGAACGATGAAAATGTATCAATTTAAATGAAATAGATTCACATTCAAATGGAACCATTTAATTTTCCCTTACGATCTGTTCGCTAAAAAAATCCTTTAGATAAAATTCACGTTAATTTCAAATTTATTTCATGAAAATGGGACGAAATTCTTAACGATGTTTCCTTTTAAATGCTTACTATAGGGCCCCAGGGCACAAAAAAACTCTAAAATGAAATGTTATACAGTAGGGAAAATTTTTTGTTGAATGGCGAAGAAACGTATGTAATAATGGTAAAAATACAATCTATATGAAAGGTATGTTTACCAAGTTTGGCCTGTATGAAACAGGAGAATAATGTGGTACAAACATACTTGTTTTCTTATGTATAGACTAGATAAACTTTATACAAGAAATATACATAAATGAACATTTAAATCTTAAATATGGATTCAAAATAACCCGTAATATAAAATAACCATTCACATATTGATGAAAACCGTAATGATTTTTTGTGATTTTTACATTCTTCAGTGTTTTGTATCGTTTTTCATTGTAACTCTAGACATATGATTATTGCTATTTTGTTTTTTTTGTATAGCTCAGTACCCCAGCATAGGACTAGTCTCACTGCAGTACTCCAGCACAGGGCTAGGCCGAGCTTCACATAAAAATTAGAAATTACAGAAACGTATATTTTTTTAAAACATTTGGTGAAAAGCTTTACCTCACCCACATAATCACTGTGTACCCCTGTCTAGCCATTGACAGCACCCTGCGGAATTGAGCGTTTTTTATCAGTCAAAGGAAGGTGAGAATGAGTCGGTAGAGTACAGTTTGAAGAATTAGGTCTTGAGGGCAATTTTGAAGACTGTGATAGTCGTTATATTGCGTATGTGTAATGGGAGAGAATTCCATTGTTTTGGGGCACATAAAACAAAGATCGTTTATCAAATGTTATATTGTGTGTTCTGGAAACAGAAAGCATACGCGCGTGTGCGGAGGAACAAAGCTTTCGAAGGGGTAAATAGACAGTAAGAGAATATTATTGTGTGTGGCCATCAAGAAACTTACAATGAATATATAACATAAACATATCTTAATTAAACAAGGTACATTTACAATGAATAAAATTGTGCCGTGTGTAACAAAGTGTGACTTTGAGACACTGCTATACTTTAAAATGCGCTTACTTCATTCGCTGACCTAGTTTTACTAAATGCTGAGTTGTGGGCTAAATCTCACACTAGCGATTCTCCCTTCCCCATTCACGCATGTAAACACCTAGGCATGCACGAGCTTCCATAATGCACGCCCCTGAACTATTTGATAAGTTTACATTAATGTTCAACCACCTCATATCATGCGAGGAAATGTACTTTCTTCAAATGGTACCATAAGTTTTTTAAAGAAAATTTAAAGAATATAATTTTGTTTAAAAAAGTATGTTTTGATAACACATTGGTCTTTGAACAATGAATAAAGCTTTATTGAAAATGCTTCCTTTATAAAACAGCGCAACCAAAAATATCCTTTTATAAATGTGAGCGACTGCAACGTTCTGACAAAATGTGTCCACAGAAACTATTTCATTTTGAAGAACGTCCATTGCAGTCAATTAAAAATAATTTGTTTTAATAACAGCTTTGGAGATATATTGATTTCGACCAAACACTAAAAAAAAACAAGGATAGGTCAGGAAGTTTGACCTAGGATAGTCAAATTTTGATGCGATCCAACATGTTGTTTCCTTATTACACATCAGCAAGTTGTGGAAATGTAGATCTTAATGTCGAGTGTTCATCTAACCTTAATGTCAGATGATTACTTGGTTGGATATTATCTCTCACTTCGTCCCACTCACTAGTGCAACCGATGACATCCGTAATTCCAATCCAGTAAACACTGAATAGTTTGTTGCCGGCTATAAGTGTATTGCAGATCAGCACGACATGTCACAGTAATGCATACAGTAATAAAAATCAAATTCGATACAGAACTCAAAGTACTTCCTTAACAATACATAAATCCTAAATCCGCAACACACAACAAGTTAAACCCAAAATAGCCCTTTAACTCTACTGTATGGTCATCAATCCAATAACCAACAACACAACTAAAACGTCATATCCATTTACCTAAATACGTCCCAAAACTCTCAACATAATATATACAGCTAAACAAATACTCTCTAAACTTAACTACAGTGATTCTCATACCCTTGACACAAGTTAACACACATATATATAAGGACAGTCACACTGAACTTTATATGATAGATCAAATGGTATTAAAAAGATCTTTCTCAAAAAATATCTGTTAATCGTATTTAAAGTAAGCCTTTTGGTTACAATGTCATGTAATCAAAATAAACGTCCTTCAAATTGTTCATACACTCAAAACTTAACGTTCAAGAAGGCAGCACACAGGTTTAAGTAGATACACTTGCAGTGCAAAATAAGTTACATTCTTCCTCGGTGTACTATTACATTATTAATTTACAATTACATATTAAAATCATTTCAAGCACTACCTTTCACCGACACCTGATATCGGTTCCAATTTTAATTGATAGTAACTTACAAAGCATTACTATTTGATACGCCGTTCTAGAGTTTTTGCTGAGCCATCCGTGAAGCATGCAGACTGACACATACACTGATTAGCTTTGTAGATCATTTTAAAGTTTTCTTCTAGCTTGATTTTAAACACAGCGACGTGGAAGTGTACATGTTTCAGCTCGGATTTGATTAAAAAAATAATATGTTTATGAACACAGAAGTAATAGTTTTAAAGGTTTTAACAAAATTCTAATTTGTTAATCATTAGTTTATCCGCACAACCTTGAGGCGCTACAGCCTAAGTAGGGCTTTCGCCTGCCTGTTTCCCTCCACTCATACCTAATGTTACGCACTTCCTTCTCTGTGAGAAATTAATCTCTATTTTAAGTTTATGACTCGTTCTACACAGTGCCTAACAAAGGACGATACCATAGAGAAATACAATAGCAAAAATACGACTCTTTAAAGAGTACCAAGTACAATTAATAAGAGTTATTTAAGTGTTAATACAATTACAACACAAAAGAAATATAATTACAATCATCAACGTACAGAGTATGAGATGTCTTTTACCGGTACACAGTTAGTACAATGTGCCAATTAATAAAGTACAATGATGAATGTGAATAAACACATATGATTACACACAATAATACACTTGTCTCGTGAAGTGAAAATAATTATCAATCAATCTCTCTCGTCTTTCAATTCCCGGCTTTATATATGGGTATCGCCTGTTTCTAAGAAGATTTGTGGGCAGAATATACGTTGTAGTCGTGACTCAAATCTTCCCCAAATTTCTATAACTTACTACAAATTCTGTACCCCATTCGAGTCAAAACAAACAGGTGATTTATTGTTTTGTGGTAAAAAAAAATAAAAAGAAATGGGCCACGCCCAATGCGAACGCAGTCTAATTTGCGGTCAAATAGAAATCACAGCACGGGGAAAGTGTGACGTAAACACGTCCTACATAATACATAAATAATTCCTTTTTACATGATTGGATTCCCAGATGCTCTAGATCATATACCACATCACCTAGCCATCTAATCCTAGTTCTGGCTTTGAGCCGTTCTCCTCTTGGATTTTAATGATGCTACCTCTTCACTCGTCCTTCATTTGGCATTCTTTCCAAGCGGCCCTCATAGCAGAGCCTGCCAAGCATTAGTTTATGATTATATAAATTGTTTTAAAATTATTTTCAGATTGTCCCCAGGGCAGATGGGGGGTGGATTGCGTTAATCAGTGCAGTGTTCATTGCAAAAATAAGATCTGCGAAAGATTACAAGGGAAATGTTACCTGGGATGTGAGGATGGATACAAGGGTGATACATGTACCAGTGGTGAGTGATTTACATATATTATTGTTCATCCGTCGAAGGCGACTCACACCATCACCATTCATTCGGTTAGGGGGAGGGTGGGTTACGATGAGCTCGTAGGTGGCTTGTGAGACCAATCCGTGCTCGGAATGATCTATGGCACTACGGGGATAGTTGCTGCAGACAGTGAACTTATATTGCTTTTTCGGGCCAGCCTGCGTGTCTCATCTGTGGTAGTCCTATTAGCTTCATGGGATTTAGTCCCCTTCTTGAAATCTGATCTCCACCTGGCTCTGTCCTGAGCTGTGTGCACCCATTGAGTGGGGTTGATGCTGAAGGACTTTAGTGCCGTTTTAAGTGAGCTTGATGTTACAAAATACGTTTTATCAAATACATTTTAACATTATCTTTTTTCTATATAATGGCATTGCTATATTTTCATACCAGAGTGTCCGGAAATTACAGAATACAATGTATACTTGATAGAAAGTTTGTTAAATAAATAGAAATTCTTCAATGAAAAAAAACAGACGTAGAGACAAACATGTGACAATTTTTTTTTAAAACTTTTAATAAACCTGAAAACACTTCATCAACAACTATTTTATTAGAATGTCCAAAGCTGACATGGGGTAGCCAGTGTCTAAAACGCTGCAGTGACCACTGTCTCAACAGAACGTGTGACTTTGTCAATGGGGTCTGTGACCATGGATGTGACCGTGATTACAATAACACACAATGTCTAGATGGTAAGGATTTTAAACATGTTACTTCCATTTTATTTATTTCTTATATTCTTATTTATTTGTATGGTTTCTTTATTTATCAAGTATTATGACAGTTTGCACATTTTATTTCATCTCTGTTTTTGGGATCCTCGTAGTATGCTTATAATATACTACTGACTTATGTGTTATAATAATATATTATTGGTAAAAAATTAAAATATTTATTAATAACTAAACTTGTATTGGGCATCTAAATTTGTTTTTCTTTCAAGTTTATTTGAAGTTTTAACAGTCTTTTCATGATCGTCATTAGCGTCACTTACTTCATGAAAAATGATTCCATGGGTTGCGGTTGAAATTCCTATGATTTTAGGCCGTAAATAAACATTCTGCAACTTTCACATGCTTTGTTTAGTTGTAGCAAATCGGTCTCATAGAGTCCAACTAGTTGTGTTTACTGTGTCTGGTGTGTAGGTAACACAATCCTGGACAACGTTTGCTGCGTCAGATACCCCCTCCCTACTGTGAATATGGAAAGTCTTATATTTTGAAATAAACAAAGTACATTTTTCAAGGCTTTTGTCGTCCCCAAGAAATATGCTTTTGCTCCTGGGCGACATGTTTCCAAATTTCATGATGCTTTAGTTATAATTAAAAATAAAAATAGTGAACCATACTTATATAAATATGCAATGTAAGCAAATTTCAACCAATAAACTGTAATGTTACTACACATTAAAAAAAAAAATAACGAGAATTTAAAATTCACAATGATAAATACTTTGGCGTATCTAATGTAAGTGTCATCGGGAAGAGCCTATAAATTTTCCGTCCCGCTTCCACAAAAAGTATCTTCTCAGTTGGACAAAAATACTGCCCCCTATAAAAAGTCAAGAATTTTCACCCTGGGCGGACCACTGCTTAATAACCCCGCTTTCTACGCCACTGATTGAATCTTGATACAACTAATGTTCCAAAGTAAGTGAGCTAGCAAACGAAAAATCTACTACTATGTATAATATTTCTAGCGAGTAACAGGCATGCACTGCAATGCCACTCAAAGCAAGTAAGTGTTTGCGTTTTGATTATTTTTCTTAAAGAGCTTTTAAATACACAATATTTTTTTTTTGTTTTTTCGTCTGGTGCATACACGAATAAATCAGAACATTTTCTGACGTGAGAGCAGGCCACATGCAGTTGTCCATAGGAGAGGCATGGGTTTTTCAAATGTAGTCCACGCGCTTCTAGTGATTGTCCCTGTGCTTTGTTGATGGTCAATGCCTATGCGATTCATACCCGGAAACTGCAGACGTTTGAATTCAAATGGCATATCTGTTGGAATCATTGGGATGTCTGGCAACAGTACATCTTCTCCTTTAAGTTTTCATTTTAAAATATTAGCATCGATGGTTTTGTTCATGATGTCTTTCGTTCAGAGATTGGTACTGTTACAAATTCGTGAGGTATTTATTTTTCGTAAAAGAATGATAGGCACGCCAATGTTCAGTGTTAAAATGTGCGCCGCAATGCCGGGCAATTCAAGTGAATTCAAGAATTCTGTTTGATAATTGAAAACTTCGTCTTGATTCAATACAGTATCGGTGGACTGATACGTTGTCGTTTCACCTGGTATTTCATTTTCAATGCTTAAGTTGATGGTATTAAATCGTTGTTTTCGGCTGCTAATACAGTACGTGCACTGAGCCACTGATGATTTTTGTAATATTGTACGATATTTGGAAAAAAAACTTGTTGAATCAATTCGTCGGAGGTTTCTGTCATTTTACAGAAGCTTTTTGGCAATGTAAAACATTGTGTGGATTCATCGATTGCCATTTTCCCATTCCTAATGTCTAACAATTGTTTTGCGAAACGTTCAGCGGATGCATCGTTGTGTATTCTTACACCCATATCAGTCTTCAAAGTCAATTTCTGTACATGTCGCCATGAAACTGATGCTTTTATACATGTGTTTAATTCATTGGCAGCTGTTGGACATGGTATAACTGGTAGAGTTTGTCGAAATACATCGGACAATACAATAAGTGCGCCACCCAAGAGCTGTTCATTTCCTCTGAAAAAAGAAAAATATGGGAGAATAACATCAAAGAGTGTACAGGACTAACACTGGTCGATGATGTGCGTAATGCAGAAGACATAGACGAATGGAGGGGGATAGTTCATATGACATCTGTGGCGCCCCAACGGCCCAAGTACTGAGGGGCATGATGATGATGATGAATATATTAAATAAAGTAAAATTTAGGGGCGCCACCACAAAAAAGGAATACTGAACAATGGTGGTTCTAATTCACGACCTACTTACTATGTAACATACCATCTGAAATATCACTCTCTCTCTCTCTCTGTTTGATTTAATTCATTCCCGCTACGCAATAGCTCAGTTTGAAAATATATTTATGAATTTCTTATACGAAAAAAATGAAATTAGGGCAACTGGCCCAAACGAAATATTGTAAAATGTTGCTCTAGTTTCAATTTTTTTCCGGCAGAGTGCATATCCATTCACCAAAGTTTTATCGAAAGCGCTTCAGTGGTATAGGAATGCATATGTTAATTATATAGATAATATAATCGTAGAAAACGAATTTATGCCCCCGGCCACAAACGGAATATTGTAGAATAGTTATATTACTTCAGAAACCTACTTATTATGTCACAAAAAATTTTATTTCACTATTAGTATTTGATTAAAAATCATTGTGTCCATGCATTAACTCTGTTTGAAATTATAGTTGTATAGCTCATTTAGGCAAAAAAGAACATTGGGCCCTTGGCTAAAAACGGAATATTATAAAATGGTTGTATTAAGTTTAAAACCTTTCCGGGCGTGCTCGCAACCTCTCATCAAAGTTTTATCGGCGTAGGAGCGCTTACGGATATTATTTTTTTACAAAGATCGCATAATTTATTAAAAAAAAAAAAATAAGGGTTAACGGCTGAAAATGGAACATTTTATAAAGGTTATATAATGCCTCAGTTGAATGCCCGGTTATGTGGACAACTCACCAAAGTTTATGCGCATATACAATACATACAGACATTCATTTATACATATATAGATGACTTGCATGTCAGACGACCGTGGGTAAATTGTTCTTCTGATCATGTTGAGTTCCAGCACAAAAAATTATCGACTGTAATAGTTTAAATATAAAATAAATTGTTGCATGAATGGTTATATACAATTTTAATAGATTTTGTTTACTAAATAATATTTTTGTTTGTGAAAATTACTTAGACACAGCATAGTTTGTGATTTGAAAAAAAAGCCTTTTTTGTTTGAAAGAAATAGTTCTATAATAGCGAAGGGAGTTTTGTTTACAAATGCAAAAGTATTATTGTGATTACATGTGAATGTTAAAATATATATTTTCAATCCATTAATTAGCTACAAATCCTTTGGACTACACATCAGGTATTTATCAACATATTTTTATCACGAAAATGTATAACTGGCTAAATTATATATAATAAAAAACACTTTATTAATCATTTATCCATCCATCTTTCTTTCTATTAATCCATGCTTCTGTCCATCAATCCGATGGTCTATATTGTATCAGTCTTTTCCGTATTCTAAATGTCCGTTTGTCTGTCTGTCTATCTGACTCCTGTATCTAGCTGTCTACCCGTCTATCTTTCTGTCTGTGTGTCTACCTGTTTGTCGATCTTTTTTCTGTCCGTCATTTCGATGTTGTGTATCTATTTATGTGTTTGTCTCTATGTCTGTTTATCGTAACTGATACATCTCTATTTATTTATCTACCTTTCTATCAAGTATACATTGTATTCTAATATTTACCAAGTTATTTGTTAAACCATGATCTAAAATTCATGTTCCCCAGTATTGTTGTTGACATTTACATTGTTTACGATTGTCAATTTGCTTTCTTTGTGTTGCCAATCGTTTGCAGGTTTACGATAGCATTAGTTCTAAAGTTGAACTTGAGTGAAATTGCTTACATTTCTTTTCCATTCCCTTTCAGTCACAAAAGATCACAAAAAAATCAAGACATTTTAGAGTTTCCTTTAGTGGTGTAGCCATTTCTAAGCCATTTTATATGGAATACATATAAGCCATTGCAGACTCTGGCTTGCACAGATTAGACGAAATTTTTCTAGACATTTCACAAAGAGACTGACAGTGGACAGTGTGTGCTTGTTGTGTGTGTTCATGCTGTTAAATATTTAACACAATCCGTTCAGCTATCCCTATATTGTATAGAAAAATAGTTAATTATTGATAAAAAATGGTATCATTCTTTGGTATTTCCTTAATATTTGGCTTCATTTCAGATCCTGTTGCACACTGTTTAGTTAATAAGACATTTATTTGTAAACGAAAAAAAATATTTATATCCATAAACCGGTTCATAACAAAATCATTTAGCTCTTTCAAATCATTATAACAAACAGGATGTAACAATGGACTTGCCAGTGGGATTGGTATAGGAATTGGTGTTACGATAGCTGCTGATGTCATCATTTGTATTGCTGTATGCATTTGGCTCAAAAGACGAAAAAAACCTCTACCAAAACCACATGATACCACAGACCGTCAAAATGATCATGTAGATGCTATACAATCACGCAATACAACGACCCGTCTTTATGATCATGTAGAGCACATACCGTCATGTGATGCAACAGACCGTCATTATGATCATGTAGATCCCATACAACCAAATGAACATCCATATAATACAGTAGATAAGAGTGGTAAGTTCATTTTTTTTAAAAATGTTAGCTAAGAAATAGTTAATGAAGTATAATGTTCAAAATACTGTGCAGCCTGGGTTTATCACAACCATTTAAGTCCATCAAATCACGTTAACAATAAATTGTTTCCCAATAATCTGTAGGTGTATTTCCAGCAAATACAGTTAGGATTTTTGAAAAGTAGGAACATAAGAAATCAATAAAGTTATTGATTTAAAAAATAATGGATACCTACCGTATACACTCGCATATAAGCCGAATTTAGAACTATAAAATACAATACTGAAATCAGGGGTTCGGCTTACATGCGCTTAAAACAAAATGGACACAAGGACAGACACTAATGCCAATTTTCCAGCCATACATTTTCATCGCTATCTGACTCTTTAATTGGTTGAGTGTACAGAGTACTAATATATATATACAGAGGTGTCACTTCAAAGAATTTAATGTATTCATAGCTGATAATTATTGTGAGTATGAATATTACCATGGATAATTCATTATCAAAGTACAAAGTAAAAAATGGCTTACAATTAAGAAAAAAATAAATAAAAAACAGAAAATGTTTCCTATATCTTTGGTTTCTTAACTAATACTCTGTACGCAGATGCATAGAACCAAGTGAGAGAGACACGACCTCGTGGTTGTATGCGCTCCATTGGCGAGCCGTAACCAAGCTAGAGCCTGTAAGAACACTACATGAAATTATAAACAGAAATGTGATAGTTTTTTTTGTGAATAAATAAAACGCAACAAAAGAATTTTTCGCCTTTATTTATTTCAAAATGTATATATATTTTTTCTAAATATATACTTCTTTAATCATTAGTTGTGAACAACATATGAGCGGAAGTTCAGATATTATTTAAGCGAACATTGTAGAAAGAGCAGAACACGTTTTTGTGTCATTCCAAAAGGTAAACAAACTGGTATGTAACATAAAAGTAACCATTTTACATCTTTACAGTAACACATTTCTATGAACCAAAAATATGGAGTAAAATTAGACCATTGTATGGTCGGCTTATAGGCTGGTTTTTGCAAAATTTTTCCATTTTAAAGCAGTTTTAGAGGGTCGGCTTATATGCGATGTAGGCTTATAGGCGAGTATATACGGTAAGTCTCCTGTAGTTAGTGAGCTATTATTTCAAGGAATCTTAAATTAAAATTGTATCATTGTAGGAAAAGTGATGAGGAATGAAATTTAATAGAACAACAGCTATTGTCTATTTATAATTAAGATTTAATTCTTTTTTTTTTCCTTCCAGGAGATGACTATAAAAATATAAACATGTTAAAGATGTTATAATAATAAACTCACAAAAATAGCTCCTTAAGGACTGAAATGAAAGGATGACAAATCATATTTTATTATTAATATTTTAATTTTACCTGTTTTTTGTGCCCTTGTTTTATCAGAACATAATATATTTATCTTATAATCGAATTTTTAAGATTGATTTTAGTCGCTTTTAACAGAATTTTCATACATTTTCAAAAATCAAGTCACTGGGATTAAATGACTAATAATCAATCGAGAAAGATTTCTTAACATGAGTTATTTTTTTAGAACAAAAATCTAAATGAAATTTATTTTAAAGTTACCATGTAATAAACACCAGTTCACACAGAAAGTGGTACTACTCCCAGGTGGCGATTCAGAGCAGTCTTGACCTCAACTGAGGCCTCTGGTTTAAATAAGGCGGAGGAATTTGGGGCAATGTGGACCAGAATATTTCGCCAATTGCGTACAAATCTACTTAAATATTTCAACGCTGATAGCACATATTTCAATGCTCATAGTACATATTGCTCAGAGTATATTTAGATAGAAGGTGAATAGTTAAAAAGTGTATAAATTATTATTTTGCAAAACTATTATTTTAAAGTGTTTTCCTTGGTAAGGCCCATCGCTGTTCTTTGCTATGGGGCTAAAGTGTATTGCTACCTGTATTTTTGTTTGTAGGCTTTTTGTTAGTTCCAAGAATATCATATTCAATAAACTATGTTAATATATCACTGACTCCACATAACAATAAATATTGATATAATCATTGAGCTTGAAATAGTTTTTGATTAGAATTTGTATCATGAAACAAATGAGTAATAACTGTTACAATGGCAGAGATTTAATTTTTTATCAAAATAATGTTTCTTCGATCAATACAATCTGATTAATTATTATCCTAGTATCAATAGTCAATACAAGAGTCTACATCCTCTAACTGAGCTTCACGTACATCTAAGCATCTTTCAAACTTAACTTGACTGCTTAACATTGAAATATTCATTTCTCTTATGACCGTGTCACGATTCGTTTAAAATCTGTGTTTATGTAAGAGTAATTAGTCTTGTTTTCTTTTTTCAAGTCCCTTAGATTTTCTCGGGGCTTTTCCTACTCGGGTGATTACTGGTAACAAACATCACCATGTGCAACATAACTGACTGCTGAATAAGCCACACCAAGAGTATCTGACGTGTTCTCTTTTGTAAAAAAACATAAACATCCCAAATGAAATAGAGTTGGTCTGTCGGTCCCAACTGTTTGTCCGTAAGATGACTTTGTGGATAAATGCAATCTGGAATGTTCATGTTCTCTTAAAGTACGACTAGCCAGTCTAACTGGCTTTCCACCGGTCACGTTTTGACGCGAGCCAGTCTAACTGGCTTTCCATAGTGTCTATTTAATTTTAAGATTGTATATAAATAATTTGGTATTTTTTCAAAATCAATATTTCCACATCATCTTCGGGTGTTTACATTTTTAAAACGTGCAAAGAATGAGTTTTTTTATCGCAATTTTACTAGAAAAAATATGAAATATTGTCTGTGGTCACCCAGGGTCAACAAAATTACTGCGTCCAAAAAAAGTGGATTTGACCGATGGACACTAAGAGTAACAAGGATCTACAACGGTTCCCTCATTTGGTGAAAAAATCAACAAAAGAAGTTTAACATGTTCTTTTTTCTTATTAATCATGTCTTCTGTTTGAGACCATTTCATATGGAAAACAAATTAAAGAAAACATTGTGGACTACTTAAGTATACTTAATTAAACATTTTTCCTGCACACAAAATAAAAATCATTAATTATAGGTTATGTGAGATTTAACTACTGAAAACAGACACTGGGCGATGGGATAGCCTCGGAAAGCGATTCCCGAACTTTTAAGACTGTGGTACGCTGGACTTTTTTCGAAATTTCATCCTGAACCAGATTTCATTTATTACTTATGTAAGTTTTAACGAGAAGCATTCTGGTTTGTGCGGACGGGAAACGTAAAATTCGTCGACAGTTGACAGTTTACGAACCATCAAGAATGTTGACCCACGGGCAACTTGGAGATTTTAGGGGGCACTTAAATTTGACAGATGAGGAAGTTTCACAAACAGGGTTTTAATTTTAATGAAATATTTTAAAAAAATTAAATGTCATCAAAACAAGGATGGATTTCTTGAAAAAAACATAAATGCATTGTTCATTGGCAAACTCAGATATTCAATAGGTGAAGAATTCTTTAAAAATAAGAGAAGGTATGATTTGATAGACGCAATCTAGGAATATAGAAGATACGGTCAGCTGCAGAATCGACATTACTGCTTGGCATGTAAGACAATTAGTTGATTATTTTTTTCTCTCCAATTTGAGGTTTTTTTTTAATTGATGGACTTTAAATTTAAAAAAAACAAATATCTTAGATTTGACATCGTTTAGTAACTTCTGGCTTTAAAAAAAAAAAAAATTGATTCTTTAACCATCATCATTGGTGCTTAGCATTACTGTCAAGTGAACGATCTCCATGATTGACTGATTATACAAGAAGCTTTGTGTTAAAAACAATACACGTTTAACTATTGTTGCTTAATATTTAGTATGTTAGCAGTTAGCTGTATAGGGAATTTGACTATTAACTTGTTAGAGACATGCGTGCTATTATCGGAGCTGACCCCGTCGATATCACACTCAGCTTTATTTATTCAAACCTAATTGTTAAATTCAATAAGAAGAAGTCTTCTCCGTATTGTTCATTAAATCCCTTTGCTCGGAGTAATTAATTCTAAAATCTGATAGGGTAATTGTGTGACAGTGTGATATCTTGATAGTGTTATAGTGTAATAGTATGATAGTCTGACAGTGTGACAGTGTGATATTTTTATAGTGTGATAGTGTGATAGTGTGATAGTGCCATTTTGATATAGTGTTATAGTTCGATATTGTCATTGTCTGATAGTGTGAAAGTTCGTTAGTTCGATAGTGCTTTGGTGTAATAGTGTTATAGTGTGGTATGGTGATAGTGTGATAGTATTAAAGTGTAAAATTGGGAGAGTGTGATAGTGCGATAGTCGATAGTGTGATTGTGTGATTATGTGATTGTGTGATAGTGTCATGCTTTGATAGTGAGGTAGTGTGATGATATTTTAATATATATATAGGTAAATATTATGATTTTAAAACGGTCTTTTTAATTTTTTATTCTATCAACCGGAGTCTTGCAATAACCAGTGATCACAATAATAGTGGAAATTAGTCATTAAAAACTCACCTTCAATAGAACATAAAATAATACAGAGAATTTGTGTTTACAATTTTAATGACCCATTCCACAACATGGCAAATTTCTTCTGGAAATGTATGGGATCAAAGCGCTAAATGATGCAATGGTAGACAAGTATATTGTGATATATTTTATCATTCAAAATAGAAACGAAATCTTTTCTTACTCCTGTCATACATTGTGCCCCATCTTTTGAGATTAAAACAATTTTCTCGAACGGAAAATGATGTTTCTCCGACAGCTGATTTTCTTCGATTTGCTGATTGGTTATACTTGAAGACATTTTAACTGATTTATCTTTTACAGTTTTAGCAGACATTGGTAACTTAAATTTTTTAAAGAAGTTCTTCCTTCTTCTTAAAATTCCATCTAGCTCTTCACATGTTTTATCTTCTAATGTTATAATCAGGCAGTCAATAATTCTTAAAGGGAAAAATATTTTTGTCAATGTTGTCATATTTACTTAACACAAGAGCCGTTACTTGAAATATTTTACTGAGGTGGAAGTATCAAATATAAAAAAAATAGGTATACTTGAATTGAGTTCTTACAGAAAATATAGAAAATTACACATATTTTCAAGACAAGAAATATGGCTAGCGGTCCACCCTGAGTGTCCCATTTTCCCTTTATACACAGGGCTGGTATTTTCATTTAAAGACATTTTTTTCGTGGAAAGTGGTGCCACATTTTACCATAAGCCAAAGTCAGCATTAAGCCGAGCTACGTGACTGTGCCGGCCCCTAGCAGGCCTATAGTATGTAGATTGATACTTGGATACAATGAACATGCGATTTCCACATTTTAGTGCACATTTAAGAGAAAACTACGATGATCATTTTATTACTTTCTGTTCAATAATATCACGCGATCATGTCGTACTCCATTGCAAAATTAATATGTAAATAATCTTATCAATATTTTTTTGCTAAGGGTGCTGTGTTAGCATTTTAACGGACTATACTTTTTTATGTGGATGTAGAGTCCAACAATATAACCTGCAATAAAAACTAAGTCAATATTTCTAACACTGGTAAGTCTTAAAACGATGTGCATCACCAGGATGTTAAGTTCCAATAGAAAAATGTTTTAAATTGATCAAGTTTTGTCTTAGGAAATTTAATCTGTCTTCAGGCTGAAAATGTAGCTAAAAAGTTGTGCATTCATGTTTGTTTTAAGCGATTTCACTCAAAAGTAGTTATTTTCTATTGTATGGGACATATTAAATGTGTTTACTCTTTGCTAATTGATTTCGATCAATGCTCGGTTCAATTAAAGTAACAAATGAACCATCTATGAAGTTCAATACATACGTCTTTTTATCGTGTGTTTTTTTCTTTCTTATTGCTGTCAAATAAAATGAGATTTAGGCGCTAAATCCTTCAAAATGTTACAATAGAGGGAACCATTTGTTACAATAAGAGTCACTGTCCAGTGTTGTTGTAGTGTGTACTAGCTACACTTGGTGACTTACAGTTTTGTGTTGGCGTCATTTTGTCTGACTATACGTGATGGTGAGTTGTTTTTATGAATGTCTACACTTAAATGTGTGCATATTGGTTGGATAACTGGGGTGAGTAGGTAAATGATGCATGGTATAACAATAATGTAGATTTAAGAATGAAGTTTGTTGTGACACTGACCATATACCTGAGGTGGTATCTAATTATACCATTACATGATGTCAGATGAACCGACTCTACCTGTCACAACAGCTGGAATTAAATGGAAATGTTGCTGTGCATTAGAAGACATTTAAGCTGT